CATTAAAAAAACATGTTTTCCCAAGTGTTCAGGTATACGTTATATTGCATGTCCCTGTGAACACAGATCTAGTAAATCCACAGAAACCACAAAGTATTTGTCACCAAAACCTCCCGAAGCTTTGAATCTAAGAACGGCAGCCAAACGACTGACCACTGCTGTATTTCTGTAACGTCATTCCCTTTATTTAGGCACAGGGGTTAGTCTGTGCAAGCAGCTACAAAGTAGAAGACAAAAGGGTTTCCCATTTGCAAAAAGGTGCGAGACAGCAGCAACGCTTCCGCGCATTTACAGTCTGTTTTCTAAGAAGCGACGCGAAGAGCTGTGCTAAAGATCTCAACTGCAGTGCACGGAGGGGTTGTTTTGCTGGGTGCTCCAAGGCCCAGGAGCAATGCTGCATATTCTGGGCTGCCATCTACTGGCATTTGCTCTGCTAACTACTTACATAAGCTTTTCGTCGGAGTATCCTCCTACAATTTCCCTGGAGCTGGCGAATTTACGCGTGCAGGAGAGCAGGCACTGGGTGCAGCCTGAATATGAGGCTTTGTCCAGGGTGAACTGAGAAATTTGCTCAGGATTGTTCTGAAAGGGAACGAAAGATCATGTGTTAAAACAGCATGTTTCTAGTAGACAGCGCTCCTGCTGAAAAAAAGGCAATGATGTGACCTATTTTGTGTGTGCTTTATGCAGATTACACACAGAAAGAACCATTTCACTGACCTATGTTCTGTTACCACTTCCACATCACACGGTTGATAAAACAGCAAATTATAGTTTCAGAATAGACCCATAATTTATATTGCCTAAGTCACACTTTTCTCAAAAAGCATCCTGGCTTATTTTATGGCCAGACTTTAATGTTTAGCTCAGAACAAATAGTAGAAGGTCACAGATAAGCATTTTCATTCCTGCCCCTATGTCGTTGTTTCTTCACCATGAGTTACCAGATGCCATTTAAACATGTGGCTTCTGTTCAGGATGAACTCATTCAGACAGTTAATGAGGGCTACACTGGGACATAAACAGAAGAAAAAAAAAAAAAACAAAAAAAACCAAACAGCACTCTAACCCTTTATAAGCCTCATAACATTAACAGTTGCATTAAATCCCACTGTAATGGATAAACAGAACAAAGGGGAAATGTTCCTTTGTTTAGACATATTTGAGCTCATGCTTGAAGATTCCCTGTCTGACTGTCTGAAAAGCTGATCTTGGAGACAGCATGTGAGTCCTCTATTAGGATACAATAGGAATATATCCCCAGGACAGTAGGGAGAGGAGGAAAAGACAGGAGATGATAGGGCAGAGAAGCCAGCAGAAGATAGGGACCTAGATAGGCCCATAGGAAACAGAGCTAAACAGAAAACCCACATGCATATAGTTTGTGGTCCAAGTGCCAACTGGGAAATGGGTTGAGCTCCACCAGCCAAGATACACTTGTTTTCATCACTAGTGCACTTCTAGGGATATAGGACTGTGCATTCTTTATAAACAAAGTAATTATTAGAGCATCTTCCTCAGCCTGAATCATAGAATCATTTAGATTGGAAAAGATCTTTGAGATCATAGAGCCCAACTATTACCTAACACTGCCAAGTCTACCAGTAAACCATGACCCTAAGTACCATGTCTACGTAACTTTTAAATACCTTCAGGGATGGTGACTCAATCATTTCCCTGGGCAGCCTCTTCCAATGCTTGATAACCCTTTCAGTGAAGAAATTTTTCCTAATATCCAACCTCCCTTGGTACAACTTGAGTCTGTTTCCTCTTATCTTGTTACTTGGGAGAAGAGATTGATACTCATCTCACTATAACTCACTGGGCTGTTCAGCCTGGAGAAGAGGAGGCTCCGGGGTGACCTTATAGCGGTCTTCCAGTACCTCAAGGGGGCCTACAGGAAAGATGGGGAGAGGCTGTTCAGGAGGGCCAGTTATGATAGGACAAGGGGTAATGGTTTTAAAATAGAGGGAGGTAGGTTCAGGTTGGATATTAGGAAAAAATTTTTTACTATGAGAGTGGTAGAACACTGGAACAGGTTGCCCAGAGAGGTGGTGGATGCTCCATCCCTGGAGACGTTCAAGGCCAGGTTGGACAAGGCCCTGAGCAACCTGATCTAGTTGGAGATATCCCTGTTCCTTGCAGGAGGGTTGGACTAGATGACCTTTGAAGGTCCCTTCCAGCCCTAACCATTCTATGATTCTATGATTCTATAACCTCCTCTCAGGTAGTTGTACAGAGTGATAAGGTCTCCCCTCAGCCTCCTTTTCTCCAGGCTGAACAACCCTCAGTCTCTCCTCATAAGTCTTGTGTTCTAGACCCTTCATCAGCTTCATTGCCCTTCTCTGGACATGCTCCAGCACTCATCTGAATGTCTTATCATCCCCCCTATTTTGCTTTTAACAGGAAAACTCTCTCAGTAACACAAAGCAATCATAAAAACAGCACGGTATTTAAACTTTGTGTTTAGAATTGTAGGTCTCTCCCTGTTTCTCCCTTCTCGGTGAGGATTCTTAGAAGAAACTTCTTAGAGGCAGAGTCCTGACCTCAGTCCTTCTTAGATGCACAATCCTGACCCACTGGGTAAGCCTACAGGGGGAAGGTACACATGAAACTCTCTGGTGGACAACTACCTACAGCCTCCAAGGGCACCTTAGTAGTTTTAACAGAGTAGGGTCGATTTCCACTAATAGATCTCTAAGGATAAATTACACTGATAAGCTTTCTTATCTCCTCAAAAGAAAAAGATGAGAATAATTTATTTATGAGATTCATATTCATGGGGAACTTATCATTTAAGAACTCCAGATTCTTAAGAAACCCTCATTATATCACCAGCTCCGTCATACATTTTCTGTGCACTTGTGGTCAAATCGCTTGGAAAAGAACTCATCTCATCTCCTTCCACTCATTCAAAAGTTAGTTAGACAGCAAAGCAACTTGCCTTTGGCTCTGTCTTTAGTCACTTCAGAGGCACATCCGTGCCTCCAGGGTGTGATTCATCCCATCTTAATGCACAAGCAGATCATTGAGTTGAACACTCTTAATTTTGCTTCCCTTACTAACTGCAGTCCAGAGGCAGCTCCTGCATTGATTTTTTTGCACCTTTTATTTCCATTTTATTTCATCAGCTTGGTCAATGGAGAGAGTTAGGCAGCCCTAGAGGTAAGTACATCTCACCTTCCAGACATCTGGCTCGGAGAGCTAAATCACACTCAGGAGATGTCTCTCTATCTATTGATTGCAGAGATTGTCCTAAAGTGTTGCTTCAGTGTCACAATTTGTACACAACTAGTGCTGGAGAAACAAATCCCTCACTCACTTCCTTCATTAACCGAGAATCTCATGTTCTTTCATCCCATTCACAGCAGAGACAATTGCTTTCACTCACCTCCTTCATTGTTTCGGTCCATGAAATAGAAATACACCTTTAGGATGAAAGAAGTTCAGAGGTTTCAGTGTTATGTGTTTTCTCTTATCATGTCTCACACAATAATGAGACCTGTTCTTTTGCTATACAAGGTTCTCATTAACCGTGTTGATTACTTGCTAACCCCAGAGTATTTTTAAAGTATCTCCAGTGGCTAGGACGTTTGGGGTTTTTTTTCATGGGTTTTTCAGAAAAAAAAGACTAAACAATAGACAGCAGTTTTGATTCAGAGCCTCAGCCTCACCTGAAAGGGATACAAAACAACTTCTGGGAGTTTTGAACAACTATTGCTCTGTTTCATTTTCACAGACCCATCAGCTGTATGGCTATACACACCCACCAAACCTTCTACTCTGATCTTCTGCTTGTCATTGTGTCTTTATATTTTTCTCTATTTTCCATCCTGACTCCATGTCAGGAAAGTTCCTGAATATAAAGTAGAAATATGAGTTAGTACTTGTACTAACTCCCTGTAGGTTTATTGTGCAAGAATATGAAATAAATCCTCCCTCTCATTCAGATCACTTCTGTGGTCAAGCACGAGATGCAGTAAGAGCTACTATAAAAGCCCATGGTCATCAGAGGACCCAAGTCTTTGGTTAAAAAATAAGTTATTGTGGCTTAAAAAGATATTTAGCAGCACCTTGGGGACACTGGCAGTCTGTGTGGGCACTTTTAACCCATGGCAAACGTGAAGGAGTTGGACTCAGCCAAAATCAGCAGACTGTCATTCAAAGTTCTATCGAAGCACCTGGCACTTCCAGGAGTCTCAAACTGGACTGGGATCTTCCACAGATCATCTGACAAATAATGACTTGTTATGCCATGGTAACTGGACTTTGCCTGTGAACCCAGAACATTATGTAAAAGACTTTGGATTCTGACAGCATTTAATATCTATATCCATCTCTCTATTTAAGGTGCTTTCCCAACACCATAACTACGATATCTCAGCTGGTGATGTATGTTCATCCCCACAACATTTCTCTGAAGTAAAGCAGCATCTTTTCTCATTTTGTACATATAGCATCATCAAGACATAGTGAAACTAAGTGCCCATTTAGTCTGAAAAATTTTCAGAATAAAAGATGGGTTTTTTTCATATTCCAAATCAACAATTCCTCTTCTTACTGTGTGGGGAGAAAAATCTGTGATTATGGCTTTTTTCCATAGTCTGCTGAAGCCAAAAAACCTCCATTTAGCAACTGCAGCAGCAGATTTAACTCTGTTTGTGTCCTGCTGCATCAGTAGGTAACACTTAATTTAGCCTTACTGAGTTTTCAAGGGTATGAATGAGAAACGAGGCCTTAGTCCACATGAGTAGTTTTAGATACAAACTAGTGTATTATTTCAAAATGTGCACTGTAGTAGAGGGGTGTCTTCACTGAAATAACCACGCTTATATTAAAATAATACATAGAAAATTTAAAATTTAGTATATATTCTTGCAACAAACTTATTGCATTGTATATTTTCTTCACTCCTTTAAAAAATATTAATTGAAGTACTTCTTTTATTTGCTTTTATTTTTTACAGCTGTAACTCTGCTAATAGAAAGTGTTTTTTACAGGTAATTTGTACTCGGTCTGAAGAGTACAACAGCCAACAGGCTTTATGCAATGCCACAAGTGAGGGGCCTATACTGCGAAATCCTGGGAACAACGATAAATCAAGGACCCCAAGGCTCCCATCCTCAGCTGAAGTTGAATTTTGCCTATCACTGACTCAGTATGAATCTGGATCCATGGATAAAATGGCCAACTACAGTTTCCGAAACACTTTGGAAGGTAACATACTTTATTCTATCACGCCATTTTAATCTGTAAATTGTCACGGTTTAACCCCAGCCGGCAACTAAACACCACGCAGCCGCTCGCTCACCCTCCCCCACCCCAGGGGGATGGGGAGGAGAACTGAAGGGGAAAGGGGAGGAGACTCATGGGTTGAGATAAGAACAATTTAACAATTGAATAAAGTGAACCTAAAAGTAATAATGATAAAAACTGTAACAAATATAATAATAATAGAATATCCAAATGAGTGATGCACAGCGCAATTGCTCACCACCTGCTGATCAACACCAGTCCCGTCCCTGGCTAGTGAAAATTCTAGAATTCTAGAAATTTTGAAAATGCAATCCCAGAAGACAGAAAGAGAGCTTTCCAGCCAACTCTCATCTATATACTGGAATATTCCATTGGTCATTGAGTCTGAGCCCACATCCTAAGTCAGTGATCATGGGTCAATTGCTCCAGCTATGCTCCCTTCCAGCTTGTTGTGCACCTGCACACTGGCAAAGCATGGGAAGCTGAAAAGTCCTTGAATTCTTAGCAACAACTAAAAACATCAGTGTATTATCAACATTCCTCTCATATCGAATCCCATATTAAATCCAAAACATAGGGCTATTTTAGCTGATAAGAAGAAAATAACTCTATCCTAGCCAAATCAGGGACAAAAATGATTCTGGGGTTAAAGTCTTTAATGTCTGGGCAGTTTGAGCAGATTCCATGAAGCACCACTCAAAAGGGAAAGGGAAAAAAAAAAAAAAAGAAAAAGTGACGCTTTCTGCTGGAATAGCAACAGACAGAATGAACTACATTAAAGGCATTTGATAAGAAAATAGAAACTATAGACTAGATCAGACCCTAAATCCATCCATTAGGAGATATCGTCTCCTGCTATAGTCAGCATCAGGCACAGCAAAGAAATGTAACACTGCATAAAAGGATATCGTCTAATAATCTGCTTACACGTGATCATAACCATGTCCATGTGGGTTATAGGTTTGCCTGGAAATCCACTGTCTTCCAGAGGCCAGGCTGGACATCAAGGGAAAGGAGGATGCTGCCAGTTGGCATGTTATGTCTACATTCTGCCACCGTGAACTCCATAGCAGACTTCTCCCCAAACTCTAAGAATTAGGGATTAAATTTTACCTCAAAAATTACCCTTAGCATAATTTCTAAAATGATTTAGTAATTTATCTGAATTTTCTAACTATCCGACCTGTTTTGAATGTTCCTAATTTCCTAGTAAACAAGAGTTCTTTGCTAAAAAGTATAGTTATTCTTAATTATCTACTTACCCAATTTCTTTTGAATCTTGCTAAATTGCTAATAAACAAGGATAACGCATTATATATTTATCAATAAATATTTCTACAGTATCATTTTTCAGTTGAATCAAATACAATCTACTTTTGATGTTCCAGAGATTTTTGCTTGCAAAGAATGCTGCAAGGGCCAAACCAATACAACGTAGGAGTTGATGTGAGGATAAGAAAGCAAATCCTTTTACATATTCAGTATTATCCCTAGTACAGTGTGGAATGCCATAAAGCTTTCTCAGGGAAAGAAAAGAAAAAAAAAAAGAGGTGAACCAGTTTCTGCTTTAAAAACAGTCAAAAATGTGGAATTTGTCTGCTGAAGACAACAGAGAATCCAGACATTCATTGACTTCAGCTCTGGACATGGCTATGTTTTCTACCTTTGAAAACAGAAACCACACGAAGTATGGGAATGAAAAAGGTGACAGAATAGATTAGAGGTTTGCTTGCATTTTTCTCCATAAAGTACGTGAACAGATGCAAAGGGTGGAACAGGAGGAGCAGAGAAAAGGGAACTGAAGTAAACAAGTCATGAAATAATGAGGTCTACCATCATGCCACTAGTATTGAAAACAAAAGCAAAGGCACAGCCTATAGAAGTTACGCAGAGCCACATATAGGTTTACTGAGAAGCACAGTCAAAATGGACCACTCATTTACAAAGCCTAAATTTCAGGATTGTGGCTGCTCATTAAATAACAATAATTCACTGAGTACTTGCAGAAAACAAACAAACAAACAAACAAACAAAACAAACAAACAAACAAACAAAAAAACCCCACAGCATGCTTTTTTCTGAATGCTAAGTCTAAACAGACAGCTAGACAGCTAAACAGAGTCATAGATCATGTATATCCCGTTGATACAAATAGATACGTTTTCTTATTGAAAATAAAAGTAGCTATTTGAAAAGAGGCAACAACATGTAGTGACAGGACAAGGGGCAATGGCTTTAAATTGAAAGAGGGCAGATTTAGACTAGATATAAGGAAGAAATTTTTCACTCTGAGGGTGGTGAGGCACTGGCACAGGTTGCCCAGAGAAGTTGTAGATGCCCCAACCCTGGATGTGTTCAAGGCCAGGTTGGATGAGGCTTTGGGCAACCTGGTGTAGCGGAGGGGTTCCTTGCCCATGGCAGGGGGTTGGAACTAGATGATCTTTGAGGTCCCTTCCAACCCTAACTATTCTATGATTCTATGGTTCTATAACTTAGATAGATAGATAGATGTTGGACAGGATTGCACAATGATCAGGAAGGCACCTACAGCTCTCAAAGAGCCTGGAAGAAGTTATTTTAACTCTAAAATCAGGATCGGTGTTTTGTCTAATTAATCTATCAAACTTTTTCTCTATTGCTGTCTCTTTGTCACATTAATTTCATGGCTAGCAAGGACAGTCATGACCGGTCTATGTCAATATCATAGTGTCATCTGCCAATCACACTTGAACAGTTATGCTTTAATCTGAATAGTGGCGATGTCACTGCAGCTGAAATGAGCTATTCTGGACCAAATTTTCTCCAAGTGAGTTCTTTTGTTCTCTCTAACAACCCTTCAGAACTTAAAGAGGGTTCATCTTTCTCCTAATTGAGGTTATGAAGCTTGAGCTCACCACTGCGGTCATTTGGAGCCCTCCAAATGCCACACAAGGCATGTCACGGTTGCTATCAATAGGTTCTAATGGATTTTGTGTGATTTAGATAGTTCTTCTAATACACTGGGGAAAAAATCCTATATGTTCTTGAGAATTTACGAAAGTCAGACGCGATTCAGAAGCCACAGTGTAGGTTGCCACAGAGCAGCATATATTATCTTTGTCATAGTGTTGCACAACTCCTGGATGCATCCTGCTAGCTCAACGCAGAGGCAGAGCATGCCGTTTTATCAGTCCATCCAGACGTGCTCTCCCTGACACGTTCCATAGCCGTTTCAGAGCATCTGTAGAACCTCCCTTATGTGATTCTAAAAGGGAAGAAAAGAGACCGAGCTGCTCATTTTCTCCTGGCAGTGAAAGAGGACCTCTGCAAGTCCTAGGATCCATGTGGGAGGAGCCTGGGAAGCTGTAGCACAGTGAGGAAAAGCTCAGTAGGGTAAGACTGAGGCAATGAATGTCACCTCCTTAGAAGCTCTATAGACATGAACAAAAAAGACAAACAAAACAAAACAAACAACCCCAAAACAACCTAACATGGATCATCTCTGTTCTAGGGGAAATCCTGTTAAGAAAATGATCACGTTTGCTCATAGTCCCAGAGCAATTACCAGACCTTGTATTGTTGTTTAACTTTTACAGCCTAGCTAACAGAGATCTACAGTGCTCAAGAGCTGATATGGGAGAGAGTAAAGGTCAACAGAGTGATGTTACCTTTCTTTCCATTAGAATATTTCATTAGAGCCAGAAACCCCTGAAGCAAAACTGTGTCCACAGCATTCCATGATAAGGGACTTGTTTGACGATGAGTCTGTCTGAATGCAAGCCAGATGTGGCTCAGTAGGCATTCATCTATATTACTACAGAGGTGGAGCTTATTCTGTCAGACATAGTGTTATTCTAAGACAGATTTTTTTTTTTTACTTTTTTTCTTTGAGGATATTTTATTTTTTAACCTGAATTATTTCAACACTCAAGTTTATATCACAGGATCACAAACATTTCTGTCAACTAACTTATTGGGCTAACACGATAGTGAAATGCAATGCAAAGCCAAGAATACATGGCTAATGTTAAAAAAGATGGTGGAAAGTTTTTAAACAAGTGTTACTGTCAAAAAAGTGCCCATATTATGTTAGCTTCTTCTTTCAAATGGCTTGCTTAGTTTTTTGTTGTGTACAGATGCCAAGCCTAATTGCCAGTTTGCATTTATTGTGCCAGTACCCACTTCTGTGTGACAGCATTCTTACAAACCTGCTAACACTCTGTAGTTCCTAACATTTACTTCTTTTTCTAAGCAAAAAGATTTCAATCCTTCTCTACTTGTTTACACAAGTTTGTGCCAATACACCTAAGGTCAAATTCTAATCTCTTTTAGATCCAAAGTAAATCCAAATTAAGCCCATTGACTTTACTGGAGTTATTCTAGATTTACAGAAGATGACCAGATCCAAGCCAGTGACTGTAATTGAGTGGCTCCTGATCTACACCAATGTGAGATTTACTATTCAGTTTTAGTTCTGTAATGGAAAACACCTGTGATCACTTAGAAGAACACATCACATAGAAGAAACCCTTCTGGGCAAAATTTTATGCCCTTCTGTGCTTGAGTACACTGGAATAACACCTTTTTACCCTTCAAAGGGGTATGTATCAGCATCATTATGAGCAGATGCCAACCACATAGGCTGAATCTATGTTTGACTAATAGAAAATACTGCTATAGAGACAAATTATGTCACTGAGGAGTAACCACAACAGCCATAAACAGCAAAGGCTAATGTTGTTCAATAAAACATCCCCCTGCAGCTAAGCACATGGGTTACCCTCTCACTCTGGGACAGGTCGGTTACTGCTTTGACTGAAAAACAACAGGTTAAAAGCAGTTTGCACGTTGCCCCTTGAAGCAATTATTTTAAATAAGATTTGTTGAATCGTGGCCCTAACTGGGGAACGATGTTAACTTCATTGGACACTTCATGGACACAAGAAGAGAACAGAAATTCAGTCTAGTTTATAAGCATTGGG